AAATGTCCACAGTACAACATTGTGAAGACATAACAAGCCATATTCCATGTTTTATCAAAACATATAACAGATAATTTTTTGTACCTGTGCATTCCTGCGTTGGGCTCCACTTTCTAACAGTCTATAGCTTTAAATCAAAGTGCGACTTCTGCTGCACCCACCTCTTTCTGCCCCGTCTTTAAGTTCAGTCTTTAAAACTTTATGATACATCTACAGTCTATGGGCTCACTGATCTTTCAGTGGGTACATTTAGCTTAGGATCAGGAATTTTTATAGCAAGTCATCCAAATCAGGCAGCAGCAGACTGGCAGTGCTATACACACATATTTACATGTTTCTAAGAGTTTGATAACCAAGCTGTTACCAACATCCTGCACCATTTCTTGTTCAACATGGGAAAAACACAAGACTATTTTCACATGAGGATCGAAGCCTTTGCTGTTTATTAGATCAGCCACATGCATTATGATCCTTCAATACAATCAGATTCTGCTTAGAACTGCATTCAAAACTATTGAGCCAATATGTTCAGCTTCTATGGCTGAAACATTTTAAAATGATGAGCTTCCAACCATGAGTGAAACAGTAAGAGCATCAACATCCCTTTAAGAAAGAGAAATCAGACATTTGGATTCATTTTAATGAGCTCAGACTTGTTGAAAATGCAGAGGAGCTAGTTGTGAACTGAGCTTCAGAGAAACACAACATACTGAAATTCACTGTGAAGCTTTGAGTAGAAAAAGACAGAAAAACAACATGTGGATCCTGGAATAATGGGAGCTTCCATCTTTAAAGGACTGAAGAGGAAGAAGTTTACAAGGAATCATTTAGAACAGTTAACATTAACTGATTGAATCCATGAATCTGAAAAGATGTTTCTGAGTGAAAGAGACAGACATCTACAGACTGAACTGTGCTTCTCTAACAGGAGGACACTCTTTACACTCAACTCAGCACAGGGACACTGAAGAACCAGGATAGATGAACATAAACCCAGGATAAAGAGTTTGAGTGAATGTGGTGTTGAAGGTGTGGAGGTGGATCAGAGTGTCAGAGGAGACTCTGTAGAAGGACAGAGTGCCAGCAGGACAGTCCACATACACTGCTACTCTGTTAGAGACAGAGGAGGAGGAGGAGGAGGCAGAGACAGATGTTGATTTCTTATTGCGCCAGGCAGAGTAGCGGCCATCATCACAGCAGCTCAGACTCCAGGACTGATCACTCCATCCAAACAAACAGTCATTGTCTCGTCTCCTTGTGATTCCTCTGTAACTCACTGATATCTCAACTTTTCCGTTCCACTCGACCTCCCAATAACAACAGCCAGTCAGACCATCTTTACACAGCAGCTGAGGCCGTTCAAATCTGTCTGGATGATCAGGATATGATTGAACTTCCTTTGCTTGTCTCACCTTCATGTTGTCAGACAGTTTGAGTTTTCTGTTTACTGCGTTTG